TGTTCGCTGCCTGGTATAGAATTGACCCTCACAGGGCAGGGCCTGGGGCTCAGGCTTTTGGATGGTCCCTTCGGGGCTTGGCTGATGCTGGGCACGTTCAAAGTCCACCCTGAGCCCGCCTAGAGAAGCTGTGAGTCAGAGCCGAGGGCTTGTACGTGAGGGCAGAGCTGACTCCCCGCTGCTCTTGGACTCAGGCCTGGAGCAGCAGGGGAATCCTGTGTGGCTCACATTCAGCGCTCACTGCTCGCTAACAAGCTCACATAGGCCACTCGGAGACCTCTGTGTAGGAAAACACAGGCAGACACACATCACTTCCCTCCTTACTTCACTGCTGTGGAATCCCTTCCATAACCACAAGTGTTAGGTGTTTTTTTTTTTTTTTCCTCCCCGACAAGTTCAACTCCAAAAGAGGAGAGGATCTGAAACACTAAAACATAGACACATTTTTTCTTTCTATCAAAGGGCTCTCTAGGCTTGCTAGTTTTACATTAAGCCCGATAGCTCAGAAGCTGGTAAGGTGTCTGGCACATTTTAAAATTCAAATTAAAGTCTGAATGCTGTCCCTCTTGCCAGAGACAGTAGTTTACCCAGCTCTCCAAAGGGCTTCCCTCCAGGGAATCCACAGAATCTTCTGGACTTGTCCTACTCAGAGCTCATCACATCCCCAGGGGGGTGCTTATCCCCTGCTTCCGAAAGAGAACACGAAGATGCAGGGCGGGCAGGGCCTGCCTGCTTCAGTCAGTGGGCTGGTGGGGAGCTTGGACTTCCGGTCTAGTGCCTGAATGATATTTCACATTTGCAGCTTCTGTGAATGACTTGCGAATTCCACAATGTGACAGTATGGGGAATTTGCCAATGAGGAAATATCACTAGTTTTGAAAGTTTAGTTGGAGATTGCATCAGAGGAAAATACAGGGGGAAGCAAGGCAAGAAAGCAAGGAAGACTCCAATGCACCGCACAATTTGTCTGAAAACTGAGCACTAGCACAATGCACCCCAGGGAGGAATGTTTTCAAGGGCTGGGTCCTAACCCAAGGATCCTCCTTCCCTCTGCTCTAGAAGCCGTAATTTTTTAAATAAATTTTTTAAAAATATTTTTTAATTTTTCAATTACAGTCGACATTCAATATTATATTAGTTTCAGGTGTACAGCATCGTGGTTAGACATTTATATAATTTATGAAGTGATCCCCCTGATTAGTACCCACTTGGCACTATGCATAGTTATTACAATATTATTGACTATATTCCCT